CAAACCCACCTAATGGATGGAGTGAAATCTGCTTACCTGGACGTTAATCCCTCTCACTTCCAGCGAAGGGTTGGTCGGGAGGTGCACATTGCTGTCAAGTTCGGCTTCCACGCTCTCCAAGCCTCCGTGAAGTAAGGACTGTTTACAGAAGAACAAAGTCTTCATCAGAGGACGGGTCTAGCAAAGCCAAGGCCAAGAGGCCCTTGAAATAACACTTATTTTCTTGTTAAGCCCCGCCCCTATCATTGCGCGAGCAGGTTTAACTGCTTTGCCTTGTTAAACGAAGCTAAAATTCTCAGAGAGCTTCTTGAAGTTAAACTGCCGAGTGAATCCCTAGTAGCACTCCTATGATCAGTGTCGGAGTCGAGACCTCTTAAGACCGTCAAAGAGTCTGAATTCGAGTCGGAAGCTAGTCAAATGAACTTCAACAAAAACCATTCCTCCATCATTGTTCACACTGACACCAGTCTTGCGATGGTCTTGCCTACAAGACTGCTTAAGATCACTACCCGCTCTCCTTACCACGCCTTGGCTCATCAAGCTGCTGGCCTTACCATCCTCCTCGTATCTTTGGCCTCTTTAATTTACTAGGTGTTGATGATATTCTCATATTGCCGTTTCTTGAAATCTGAACTGCTTCATCATGCCCTAGTTACCCCCCGAAATTATAGCCTCTCTCTCCTTACAACCCCTTTATTTATAAGCCCCGCCCCTAACATCCTGCTCACATCCTTGCACCCTTAAGCTACTCTGCAATGGAGTTGAGATTCTCAATTGTTAATTCTCGGAGTCCCAACTGCTTCACCATTCTCTAATAACCGTCACCATCACCACATCCCTCTCCGTACCGCCTCTTTATTGGTTAAGCCCCGCCCCTTACCATCCTGCTGGCATCTTTGGCTCCCTTGACCTGCTCCGCGATGGTGTTGAGATTCTCAATCAGTGCCTCCTGGAGTCTGAATTGCTGCCTCAGCCCCTTGGAGCAGATGCTGAGTAACGCCCCAAGGATCATCTCAATGCGTTGCTTGTACTGGTGCTCCCGAAGACTGTCCTTTAAACACCTAGACGAGATATAAGACAGAGATGAATTCACTTATTAGCGACGATGATCCATTCCGTTATGCTGGACACCGGGCTCCCCGTATCTTGAACTGCAACTCGGTCCACAAACAGCTATGCATCTATATCCGAACCGTGACTGCTTCTCACTGTCTCCTCTCTACGGGTTTCTTTGGGCTTGCGAGCTGCAGCGCCCAGGGCACTGAATGCTACTTTGTGAAAATGAAACTCACCGAGTCCGTTCCTCTGTAGGGTTTATCCGACGGCTTATGTTTATTCATTTCCCTTACCAGTACAGGAAGTGTGAGACCCGTATGCTTTGTATGGACCGCTCAATCAGGAATCGCGCCAAGGCAGAGTCATGGTAACTCTCGTACTTCAGGGCCTAACAAAATAAATAAGGAGAAAGCTTTAAGTTGTATGCTAGGAAATGTTTGGAATTCAAATCCAGCGATACAAATGATGTTCAGAAACACAATGGACTGCATTCTCAAGTCAGCCAGTTTTCATTTTTTTCCTTTAATCTTTTCCGTAGTAACATATTGACTACAAATGGAATGGTATTAGACAATTTTAAGGATTCCTGTTGGTCCCCATTTTCCCTGAATTTTTTTTCAAAACCTGGCAAAAGACTAAAGTAAGTTTTATCACAAATGTGAATTTCCTCATCACAGTGGACGGACGATGATTGTCGGGAAATTTACTTCACTCTTTCATTGATGCTCTCAATTCAAATAAATTAAAAGCAAGCTCGCTTCCACTTTCAACATGGTCGACTAAAGAATATGTTCTACTGCATATTTCTGATACATGGAACAAACAAGAACTACACGTGATGAACAACAATCTTTGACGCCCAGTGACAAATAGGCACGGTGTGACTCTCATTCCCAGTGATGCCATTTCCATCCTGAGCTCAGTGTGATAACCTTTCCACCTGCATTTTTGTGCACATTCTGCTGAAAACTGGTTGCCAGTATTCTGCGCCGTTCACATGTGTGAATCAGCCAGCAAGGGGTCTTCCCTGGGCATCGAGGGGTAAGCCACAAAATACCATGTACAGCAATTGTATCAATCAGTTCTAACAAAAGAACTTTTTCCAAATCATACATAAGTTTCACCAGTAAAACATAGGAAATGTGACCATTTCAAGACGCTGACCTGGACAAGCTGAGGTAGGTAGTCGCACAGCTCATCGTCCGAGATACTCTGCATCCATTTCACCGCTGTGCGCCGCACTTCCCTGTCCGCAAATCTGCAGATATAAAGACAAAGCTCTTGCCATGATCACATAGACAAAATGCAAGCTTAGCAGATAAATTTCCCTGCTCAGCAAAAATGGACAGGGAGCCAGCCAGAAATTACACACATCCTAATGCCGTTTTGGTTGGACTCAAACACTTTTCTGCACTGAGTATAATTCTGTGCAGCTCACCCCTGGGACTAATCTCAGAGCACTGCTACAGCACTCAATCTACCACAAACCAAACCTCCATCACCGTACAATGAACACCCAATAAGAGCAAGGCAAAATGTATCCTGAATTCAGAGGTCACTTTCCCTTAAGCAGTGAAGTAACGACAGAATTCGTAATTCATATATGTACATGCCAACATAGATTTTTCATAATATGAATAGATATCATTGGAAAGTACTACAGAAGTCAAAGAGAGCAACAACATCTGAGATGCTGGCTAGGAGGATGCGTTGCCATGGTGACAAAATCTGTCCCACCTTGGGTGGAGTAGCTGCAGCGTCTGTATGGGCTTGACCGGTTTCCAGTTCCTGAGCAAGGAGTAGATGTCGGCAAGGCAGGCCCAGTCCCAGGTGGGGGCCACCTCCAGGATGCGGGGCAGGGCTGATGCGTTGCCATGGAGATAGTGCCGCTTGCTCCACAGGAACATGGTGTCTTCCGAGTTCAGGCTGCAAAAGGATTTGAGAGAAATGCACAACTTCTAAAGGCAACTATGAGTACTACAAGGAGCCAGCTGTAACGCACATACAAACAAACTAGTGCACTCCGGGATGCAGTGAGAGCCGCCGTAAAAATTGAGATCCCTCAGCCCGCTTTTCAGCTATTATTCTCGGCCCCCGCTCGAGCGAACACGGTG